CCGCGCAGGCGCCAGACTGCCGAGGGGCGCCACGAGACGGCCCAAGGAGCCCCCCAAGAGGCCCCGGAGAGGACCTAAGACGCACCCGAGAGGCCCCCGAGAGGCTCCGAGAGAGGAGGAGGGAAGAGGAGGAGAGGAGGACGACCATACACAGGAGGAGAGGCACGCCGACGCGACGCGGAGGAGCGTGTCACAGTTCACGGTTTTCCCAGGCCTCGGGACGCGAGGCGTCACACGTGATGGCTTCCTGTGCGCTCCTCGATCTGTCTGTCGCCACCCAGAGGCACGGCGGCAAGACTTGCTGCAGGCAGCAGGACACAAGACGACTAGGGAGACTCCCTGGTCCCTTTTCGGGGCCCCCTGGCCTCCGCCCCATCTTCTTGGCTCGCCTTCTCCCTGGGAGGGGAGGGGGGAAGGGGAGGGGGGGAAGGGGAGGGGAGGGGAGGAGAGGGGAGAAGACAAGCTAGGTGCGCTCGCGTCATATCTGACGTCCTGCCCTCCCTCCCATCCCTTACCATGGCGTAGAACTCCTCTCTATTCGCACAGTCGGATGTCGAGCAGGGCAATGATCGCGAGAGGGCGTGCGATGCATCGTAGAGCACGGCATGGCATGGCGTAGAAGATGAGGGGAAACGTTGGGGGGGGGACTGGCTTAGGGGATAAAACATCGACCAGGAATCGGCGATACATCGCCGGTAGATCGGCGGTAGGCCCCTGATAGCGGATCCGCACGGTCCTGGGCGGGGTGGACTCTCGGGCACGGCGAGCAATGTACGATTGGGGGTCGATGAGCGGATCCGCACGGTCCTGGGCGGGGTGGACTATCGGGCACCCATCGGCGACCGATGTGCGATTGGGGTTCGATGCGTCCCCAGTGAACCTATCCCCCCCGAACGCTGCTCCTGAGGAGGGGAGAAGGGGACAAGGAGAGGAGAGAGGAGAGGAGATAAGAGGAGAGGAGAGGAGAGAAGAGAGGAGACAGGAGAGAGGAGAGAGAGGAGAGAGGAGAGAGAGAGAGAGAGGAGAGAGGAGAGGAGAGAGGAGAGAGGAGAGGAGAGGAGAGGAGAGAAAAGGAGAGGAGAGGAGAGGGCGAAGGGGAACAGGAGGGGGAGAGGGGGAACGGGGAGGGGGAACGAGGAGGAGGGGAGGGGGAACGAGGAACGAGGTGACCCCCACACGCTTCCGACGGCGACCTCCCGCCGAAGAGGGGCCAGGCGCTGGCCGCGAAGGCGTGCCGCGATACATGCCCTCGCCGTGCATGCGGTCGCCCACGAACTGGCCCTGGTAGGAGATCCCGTCGGGCGACCTGGCGGAGCGAGCGCGAGGACCAGCGGTGCGAGTGTGACCCCCGGCTCCCCTCGGGTGCTCACAGGGCTGGTGGCGGCCCCCTGTCGCGCGCTCCGGCATGTCCGTGTAGCATGCATGTGAAAATGCCGGCGGCCGCGTCGGCGGCAGCCCCGACGAAAGCAGGAACACTCAAATGGCCCTAACCCACAGACAAGGGCGACAACGACAGCGACGACGGCCACGAGGACCGCGGCGGCGACGCCTCCGGCCGGAATCGGGACCGAGGACGACAGCGACGATGGCACCGAGGACGCCGACGGCGACGCCTTCAACACGGCAACGCGAGGACACCGACGGCGAGGATCAATACACAGTCCGACGACGACGATGATGATGACAACAACGACGACGAGAAACAAAGATGATGATGGTAGTGGTGATGATGATCGCGAGTTGTCGGAGGCTCCTTTTTCGGCCATTGGAAGGGCCAATTTTTGCCACCCCTCACGAGAATCGTGGCCCCCGAGGGGGGGGACGCAAATCGAGTACCCCCCTCTTTTGACCGACCGCCTCCAAGATGGCCCCAAGAGGCCATGTAGGGCTCCCAAAAGAGGCTCCCATAAGGGCCCAAAGAGCGCCCCAAGAAGCCCCAAGAGGCCTCCAAAAAGCACCCGAGAGGCCGCCAAGAGGCCCCCGAGCGGCCCCCGAGGGGCCTCTGAGAGCCCAAGATGACCTTCAAGTTGCCTCACGATAGCCCAAGCTAGCTCCAGATGGCTCCCTAGATGCTCCAAATGCCCCAAGACCGCTCCAAGACGGCTCAAGCGAAAACCAATGATTCTGGCCTTCTCGCCATTTTGCTTTCGATGGCCTTCTGGGGGCTCGAGATGGCTCCAAGATGGCCCAAGAGGGCCCCAAGAGAGGCCCAAGAGAGCTCCAAAACGGCCCCAAGAGCGCCCAAGAGCGCCCCAAGAATGCTCCAAGAGGGGCCCAAGAGGCAATTTTAGGCACTCTCGATCGAGAGGCGACGCTACTTGAAGCTCCCCCTTCTTTCATCGATCTCCTCCAAGATGGACCCAAGAGCGCCCCCAAGGCTCCCAAGAGCGCCTACAGAGGGCCCCAAGACCGCTCCAAGACGGCTCCGAGCTGCCAAGATGGCCAAGATGGCCACTGCGAGGGTCAATTTTGGCATACCCCTCCTCCTCCTCCTCGTTCTCATCCTCCCCCTCCCCCTCGTCCTCGTCCTCCTCCTCTTCCTCCTCCTCCTCCTCCTCCTCCTCCTCCTCCTCCTCCTCCTCCTCCCCCTCCCCCTCGTCCTCGTCCTCCTCTCTCCTCCTCCTCCTCCTCCTCCTCCTCCTCTCGTCCTCCTCCTCCTCCTGCCCCATCCCCCTCCCCTTCCTCCTCATCCTCACTCTCTTAGTCCTCGTGTCCTCGTCCTCCTCATCCTCGTCCTCCTTCACCTCGTCTTGCTCCTCACGCCTTCTCCCTCCTCCTCCTCCTCGTCCTCCTCCTCCTCCTCCTCCTTCGCCCCACCCCCACCCCCCACGAGGGCCCGGAGATGGCCCCAACACGCCGTCCAGGCCGGCCTTCCTCGCTGTTTGACTAACTATGCGTGTCTCTTCCTCTCTCCCACCGTCAGCTCTCATGGGCATCGTTTCTGGATGGGCTGGTGGGGATTTGTTTTGCGTCGCAGCCGCAGGCGAGAGCGCCAGCGGCGAGCAAGGTCCGAGCGGGCCGCGCAAGAGCCTAATTGCCTAACGCCGACGGGCCGGCGGCCTAAGCAGCACCTAAGCGGGCGGGCAGGCGTGAGGGGGGGTGCGGGCTGCAGCTGCCAGGAACCAGGTCCAGGAGCTGGTGGGGATACGTGAAGCGTCAAGAATGAAACGAATGATGATATTGATGGTGGTGATGATGGTGATGACGACTATGATGAGGATGCTGATGATGATGCTGATGATGATGGCGATGGTGATGGTGGTGGTGATGATGGTGATTATGATGATGATGATGATGATGATGATGATGATGATGATGATGACGATGATGATGATGAAACTGAAGGCCATGATTGTGAATGTAATGACGTTGACGTTGACGTTGCCTGAGCGTTCAGCCCTTCTGCTGAATGGGTGGATCCGCGCAGCGTGGGACGTCCCCGCCGGCGTGTCCAGCGACGTTCACGCTGCTCCGACATCTTGCCTCACCCTCCACATCTGCCGGGATGATGTGAACGATGATGATGGTGAGAATGGTGACGGTGAATGTTGGGGATGGTAGTGATGATGCTGACGAAGATGATGGTGATGAGGGCGGTGGTGATGATGATGACGACGGCGATGATGACGATGATCAAGATGACCACAATAACAATAATGCCAACGGTGTTCATGGTGATGGTGGTGATGATGATGGTGATGATGCTGATGACGAAGGCGGGGGTGGCGATGATGATGGTGAGGACGAGGATGAGGATGGGGATGGCAGTGATGATGGCGATGATGGCGATGACGATGCCGATGGCGATGACGACGGTGATGATGCTGATGGTGAATACAATGAAGATCACGATGGCGATGGTGATGATGGCGATTGTGGTGGTTATGAACGGTGATGATGATGACGACGCCGACGACGCCGACGACGCCGATGATGATGATGATGATGATGATGATGATGATGATATGATGATGATGATGATGATGATGATGATGATGATGATGATGATGATGATGATGATGATGATGAAGATGATGATGATGATGCGTTCGTACCCCTTTCCGAGCGTTTACTAGTCGGTTGCAAACCCGAAGGACGCCGAGGGAACAAGGGAGAAGAGGAGGGAAACAAGGCCGAGGGGGAAGCAACGACGACCCCACAGCGTAGAAACGACGAGGCGAGAGGACAGGAAACGAGAGGGGAGGTGACAGAGCAACGAGACAAGAAGACTAAGAAGCAAAACGACAAGTGACGAGCAGGCCTAAATACGCGCCAGAACTGAATCACACATCCGAAAATAACCCAAATATTTTCATATCTGCCTTTTTCGCGTCTGCCGAACAGTTCCTGCAATTCCGAAGGAAGTGAGAGCGATCATGGGCTACCTCGGGGGAAAGCCGAGGAGACTGCACTTCGCCTGAGCACCACTCCGCACGGGCGCCCGCGCCCACTCCGCCGGGGATGGAAAGGTCACGACCCAAAGAAGAAGGAACAGCACGATCGCGAACAACAGCACGATCGCGAACTGCATCGGGCACGGTATCTTGCACGGCACGAACTGGCAAAGCATCGTGAACAGGAACGAGCAAGCACAGCAGGAGGAACAGCAAAATCAACAGCACGAGCAGGCACACCGCGAACCGCATCTGGTATAGCACCAACAGGCACATCGCGAACAGCACCGAACACAGCCCAAACTTGCACAGCATCACGAACAGCACGAACTGGTATAGCCTCGGGTACGACATCGGGCACAACATCTGGCACAGCACGAGCTGGTACATCAGCGTCGCGCGCAGCTTATTACACAGCACGAAATTGCACATCGCGAACAGTATCGCGCACCGCACCATGCATAGCATCGTGAACAGCACGAGCTGGTCCGTCTGCATCGTGCACAGCATCTGGCACAGCGCGAACTGGCACAGCATCGCGAACAGCATAAACTTGCACGTCATCACGACTGGCATCATGTATATCATCTGGCACAGCATGACATTCTACGGCAACGCGAACAGCACCTTGCACAACGCAAACTTGCACATCGGCGCCGGGCACAACATCACGCACTGCACGAACTGGCACACTGCGAACAGAATCGCGCACATCATCATGAACGGCATCGGGCACAACACGACCTGGCACATCAGCATCTGGCACACCACCTCGAACAGCAGCAGCTGCCGTCTTTTTATATATATATATATATATATATATATATATATATTTAAAAAAACAAAAAAAAAAAAAAAAACAAAAAAAAAAAAAAAAAAAAAAAAAAAAAACTCCCTGTCCCACGCCACGGGCCTGGATGAAACCGAGGACAACCACGCCGCCGAGAGCCAGGCGGAGACACAGCACTACAATAATCACCATCGTTTTCGTCCCCAGCCTCGCCATGTGGAGGGGCGCCATCGTCATCCTCAGGGCCGCCACCACGGGCAGAATGAGCAGAAGGCATCTCGATCCAGATGTAAACCGCGCGGCGCCCATCAGAACGGCGATGTCCACCATCAATCGAGGCGCACCCCGCATCCATCTGGGGGACAACATCGAACAAACTGAGCGTGAGGCCGCGCGAGGCGGGCACGGAGGGAGCCACCGCGATGTCTAAAGCGATGTTGAAATTTACCTTGGCCGACCGCACCGAGGAGCTCCAAGCGTGTTGCACCAGAACGCCGCCGAGAACTTGTTGGCGAAGCCACCCGAGTCTGGCCGCGTCCCTCGGATGGTGATGATGATGGTGATGATGGTGCCGATGGTGACGATGATGGTTGTGGTGGTAATGACGATGATGGTGGCAATGTCGATGGTGACGATGAAGACGACGATGATGTTGATAATGACGATGATGGTGGTGATGGTAGTGACGATGGTGATGAAGATGTAGATGATGGCCATGATGAAAATGATGGTGGGACGAATGATGATTGCGAGGAAGGAGTGGGACCTTGATAATGGTCATGGTGACGATGACGGCGGTGATGATGACGATGGCAC